GTGTAGGGACAGACTTCCCCATATCTGCTCAGTGCTCAGTAAGCTTCCTTCGAAGCAGCAGCTTCTCCAGCTTGAGAGAGCACACTGGTTAGGTAAGTCTCAGTTCCGGCTAATCCTGCCTCTGCCTTCCTTCGTTGGTGAGGAAAGCTTTTTATGGGGTTTGCTGCCCTTAATCTTTGAAAAAGGCACCTTTGTCCCAGCTGCTAATCAGTCACTGACATTCAAGTGATGGTGTTAAAAAGTCAGCCGATAGCACTGTTTTAAACAAAACATTATTCCCCTGCTAGTGTTCATTTCTTGTCTCCTGTGACTGAGCCACTGCAGGACCTTTCAGTCTAGAGAAGAGCTGAATTTCTTTCATCAAAGAACCCAGCAGAATTTTATTTTAACCTTTTCAAGCTCTTCTTGCTTGTCCGGAGCAAGCAGAAGGCACAAACTCAGATGTTTTCTCCCTTGCAGGAAAGTCAGTCTTAAACTAGAGGGAAAAAACCCAGGAGCCAGGTCTAGATTCCCCCAGTTCAACTTTTTGTGCACATGGTCCATGGCTTGTCTCAACCAGCTCCCTACATCCTTGACCATCCTGGAGGGCTCAGATGACTTTAGAGAGGGGAGGGTGCTCCCACTGGTTTCTGTAGGAATCAAGAAGGCTGAGAGCCTCCAGGGGTGCATTTCACTGCCTCAAAGGAACGAGCATCCAGTTTGCAGTCTGAAAGTCCTCCTCTCTGGAGGGCTCTGAATCTGCTGCAAGCCCCAGGCCTCTTGGAGAAAGTGGTCAGTACTAACGCACCCTTTCCACTCCCTACTGCAGTATTACCGGGCTGTGCAGGGCAATGCCTGCTTTAAAGTGTTTTCCTTTCCTGATTTTATGCTGCTGTTCCTTTTCATCTAGAAAATAGCCATCCTAGATGCTGGGCCCCCTCCCCGGGGCTTGCTGAGCTGAATGAGAGTGCGCAGGTCTGCCTCGGTGGGTTCTCAGGTGGGAGGAGAGGGAGGAATTCTTTGCAAAGGTGGTTTTCAAGATCCCCTTCAGTAGATGGGCTACCATCCTCGGCCGCCTGGAAGGGAAGAAGCAATATCTGAGAAAATGGGGAACAGCTCCTCTCAGTTCCTGCACCGCTCACTTCTGGGCGATGCTTTTGAGTGCTCAGTACCCTTGGGCTCCGTCACTGAATTTCTTCAGCATCACTGCAATGAAGTGGAGCTCATTTTCCTTCGTTGCATCCAAAGTCCCAGCTGGAAGCTGATGGAAGCCAGAGCATCCTGAACTCGCTCTGTCCGAGACCGAAGCCCCAGCCCTTCCCCAGGGACCACCATCTTCCCAGGAGCTCCCATCCCACCGAGATGGTAGCGTGGGCCGGGCTGGCTGGACCTCCTCTGTTCCTGCACAGAGCCTCTGCTCTCCCTTTGTAACGTTCAGATCCTTTTGAAATGTGAATATAGGTTTTTTTGTTGGCTTTTTTGTTTGTTTGTTTTGCCAAGTCTGTCCTGGCTCTTGGGGCTTGGGAATAAATTATGACCCAAAGAAAAAAAAAAGGAAGAATACATTTTATATATATGCAAAACTGTGTATTTATGTCCAATAGAAACAAAGATGTGTGAATATGCTGATGTGCTCAGAAATATATTTATTTACTAATATATTTATCCATG